AGAAATTTTTCATTATCCTAAATGGAAACTCTGTGCCCATAAAAAAAATAACTCCCCATTCCCATTACCCCCAGCCCCTGGTAACCTCTAATTCTACTTTATACCTTCATGAATTTGCCTATTCTAGTTATCTCATATAAGTGAAATCGTATAATATTTCTCCTTTTGTGTCTGGCTTATTTTACTTGGCATAAAGTTTACAAGATTCATCCATGCTGTAATATGTCAGCATTTCATTACTTTTCGTGGCTGAATAATATTCCATTTTATGTATATACTCCATTTTGTGTATCCATATATCTGTTGATGGACACTTGGGTTGTTTTCATCATTCAACTATTGTGATTAATGCTGCTATGAACATTGGTGTACAAGTATCTGTTTGAGTCCCTATTTTCAATTCTTTTGGGTATATACCTAGCAGTAGAATTGCTAGATCATATGGTAATTTCATGTTTACCTTTTTTGAGGACCCACCAAACTGTTTTTCAAAAACAATTTTTTTTTAAGCAACTTGTCTTTATGAAGACTTTCTAAGGCATTCAGCTTGGTTCTCACAGAAGCAACGGCTCTCTTTACATTTGGTCCTATATTTCATCAGTTTCTAGACCATCTAATTAACTTGTATAATTACAATATCATGGATTCCCTGGTGGTCCAGTGGTTAAGACTCCACACTTCCAATGCGGGGGGTGTGGGTTCGATCCCTGGTCGGGGAACTAAGATCCCGCATGCTGCGTGGTCAAAAAAATACAATATCAAGTCCAACTATCATAAACAGGTTTAGAAACATATACAATTGATACTTGCTAAGCATGCAACTCAACTGCTAAGACCAGAAGTCCTTGGAACATACTAGAGCGTAGCTTTCTGGCGATAAGCCCCAGGGTGCTCTGGGAATCAGCCAATACCTATTACAGAACAAATGGAGTATATTGGTTAATCTGTCCAGTCAAATGGAGGCCAGTTAAGAGAGCTTTTACCATTCAATTAAATTACCTTTGTCATGATAAGATATATAAAGGAATTTAGAAATGACTGTGGCTCTAGGAAAAAAAAAAAACAGCTGCACACCCAGGACTGTTAACATTCAATACACTTGTTGTTGGGAGACTGGAAAAAGGCACACAGCAAAGGCTAAAACAGAATGGGAAGTTGACCAAGGTGGTCATTTTTGTATCAACTCTTGAATTTAAGAAAGTTCTAATCGATAAGAGCCGTAGGTTAATTTTCTTCCCTTACAGCTTCACTTAGCGTGGGTGATAAATGGAAGATAAACAAAGAATAGGGAGATCATGCCTATTCTTAGAAAGAAAATACCTTTCAGGTTAAGATTCAAGACTTGAGGATATGGGGAGGGGGAAGGGTAAGCTGTGACAAAGTGAGAGAGTGGCATGGACATATATACACTACCAAACGTAAAATAGATAGCTAGTGGGCAGCAGCCGCATAGCACAGGGAGATCAGCTCGGTGCTTTGTGACCACCTAGAGGGGTGGGATAGGGAGGGTGGGAGGGAGGGAGACGCAAGAGGGAAGAGACTTGGGAACATATGTATATGTATAACTGATTCACTTTGTTATAAAGCGGAAACTAACACACCATTGTAAAGCAATTATACTCCAATAAACATGTTTAAGAAGAAAAAGACTTTGGGATGTGATTAGAAGGTTTTCTAGCCAGTTCTGAAATGAAATCACCAAGCTGTAGGAGGAGTACTTTTATACAGCATCATCCATCCTTGTTGGCGACCCAAATGATTAAAGGTTTGGGAAATTGCCCCTCTAAATATGGGCTAAAGGAACTGGGTTTATTTAGCTTAGAGAGGGAGACTGAGCATGCTGAGGGGGACTTAATAATAGTCTCCAAGAATATGAGGGATATTCTATGAGTGATGGAAAGCAGCTGTTTCCTGTTTCCACTGAGGGCTGGATAAGAAAGAATAGAGTTAAATTGCAACAAGTGGGTTTAAGAACTACTTGGCCATAAAGTTCAAGACAACAAACCCACAAGACCAAAGTCACTTCTCTGTTTCAGAATTATGTAGCTCACTAGCTATCTTTCTTGGGTGCTTTCAACTGGCCTGTTCTTGAACTAGTAGAAAGATATGGAGGACCTTTCACCTGTGTGAGAGTATGAAGTTGTCCAGTGTCAGAACCTACCCGTGTTCCGTGGCTGAGGAAGCACTTATCTTCTAAGGAGATTTAAAAAGAAAAGAAATTCAGGATCTCTTTGCTCCCCCTTCATCTGCTTTTAAAGCCAGATAATCTAGATCTGCTTCTTCTGTATGAGATGAAAACTTTCCATAGATTTGCCAGTGTGTGTTTTTTTCTGCCCACTTGGTCAATGTTGTCACGACTTTAAAAAAAGTTCTGTGTTTTTAGTGAGATTGTGTATACACATACATGTGTATACGTACATGTATATAGGCATGTGTGTATATATGGTGCCTTAAGATATGAGATATATACACATATATCTCATAGATATTGTAGATATTTGATATATGATATAGATATATATTTATCATATGTAATTAATTCAACAATGAAAGCAATGTTTCATTCTAGACAGTGTGTCTGTGCGTGTTAGGGATATGAAGATGAATAAGATATACACCATGGGGCTTCCCTGGTGGCGCAGTGGTTGAGAGTCCGCCTGCCGATGCAGGGGACACGGGTTCGTGCCCCGGTCCGGGAAGATCCCACATGCCGTGGAGCGGCTGGGCCTGTGAACCGTGGCCGCTGAGCCTGCGCGTCCGGAGCCTGCGCTCCGCAACGGGAGAGGCCACAACAGTGAGAGGCCCGCGTACCACACACACAAAAAAGATATACACCATGCTAATTAGGAACAAAGCAAATAAATACACAAAGCATTACGAAATAATGCATCATTCTAGAAAGTCAGGTAGGGGAAGAAATTTAAAGACAGAAAAGTGAGTTTGGGGAATGTTACTAGTCTTTAGTCAACGAGGCAGATGGAAATACCTGAAACAACTTCTCAACTATTGTTTCACCATTGTTATCCTGTGTTAGGTGAATTTTACCGTTTATTCTGAATTGGATAAAGGGGTGTCTTATTTGCCCAACTAGGAGTGTTTTCAAGGCAAGGTTTCATTTCCAGAGGATTGACTGCTGTTGGGTTATATCTGGAAAATTATAGGTTTTTATCAGCGTTAACTGTGTTTGTGTTCCACGTGGGATATTTTCATCTTGTACCAACATTTACTATAAGCTTATTAGAAATGTTTGCCTCTGTCTTTGAGTGTTCTCTGGCATCTGGGAAGCGGGGGGGTGGACCGTAATCCAGCCCTGACTCCCACAACTCTTTTGGTCTTCAGAAATCCAGAATTGAAGGAGGAAAAATGACCTGGGGTTGCTTTAAATCACTCATTCACTGTGAAGCTTTGGGCAAGTTACTTAACCTCTCTGAGTCTCACCTTCCTTCATCTACCCGACAAGAATGTTTTCAGGACTAAATTAAATGCAATAGTGTGCTCCAAGCTCAGAGCTCATGTGCCCAGCCCTTAAGTCATTGATTCACAAAGGGCATCTCTTGCCTATGGTAGCATCATGATTGCCTCTAGATTCTCTTCCCTCGTGGGCTTTGCTGGACCTTAGGGGCAGGTTTGTAGGGTAGGGTTGGTTTAAAATTCATGAAGGCACCCGAAGTCCAATTGTATGATTTTTTTCCCCTTTTCTATACTTACTCAATCCAGAAAAAAAAAGTCCACTATAATGCCAGATGTTCCAGGAAGCGTTTGTTGTCAAACTACTTGAAACAAATGATGTGCACACATGGAAGGAAAGTGCGTTGTAAAATCAGCAGGAAGATTATGCTTTTTTTTTTTTACAAGGTTTAAAGGAGAATAAATCAGTCTTCTAGATATGCAGGTAGTCATTTAATAGACGTTGATTAAATCGAGTGCTGTGCTTTGAAATGATATCAAATTGAAGACGTGATCCTTGCCCTGGGAGGGTTTATGAACTTGTTGGAGAGACCAAACATGTATATATGAAATGACCACAGAACGGTTAGACTCAATCTCAGGAAAGGAAGTATAAAACAACAGGGCTTGAGCCCGTAAGTACTGAGGAAAGGCAGGATACAGGTTTGGGTAGGGATTTAATATAGTTCTTGGAGACTTAAGGTCGTGGTTTGACGGGTTCATAAAACAGTATCGTTTAAAGACAGACAGAATTAAAAAAAAAAAAAAACCCCAACCTAAAATGTTCACTTCCTATAGAAACCTAAGAACATACTGCAGTTACTCTTAACTTATTTGAAATAAATGCATCCTTCTAAATTCTCAGCGTTCAGGCTGATTTCCTTTCAAACTCTCCCTCCACACTGTGCCAGACGGCTCCTGCCCAAATTTGTTCTTCGTCTGCGGGATATGGAATATCTTTATAAATCATAACAAGTCACAGGGAGGGTAAAAATCCCAGCTCGAGACCCACCTCAAAAGCTGAGGCGTGCCACGTATTTTAATGGCGGTGGATCTAGGAACCAAGGGTAGGACCTTTCTCTCTCTATTAGAAGAAGATTTATAATTCAGAGCCTTCTGAGGGTGAGCCTGGATCCTCTGACCTGGACCCAGCCTCCAGCCCGTCCCCACATCCCAGCTCCCCAAATGAAATAAGCAGGGAAGCAGGGCAACAAAACCATTAACTTAATAGCGTCGAATTTATGGCTGAAATCTTGCAAAGCTTATGTCAGCAGAGGAAAATAATTACTGTCACTTTCTTTGAGACACTTGGCTTTATGGTTCCTGTCACCTTTATCATAACACACAGCTGATTTAGTAGCTCTGTTTTTCATGGCAAATGGCCTGGTGTTATGTTTTTATGCATGTGGACATGCTAGTGAGATGACAATACATGGATAGACTGGGGTGGGACTAAATTTAGATAATGAACTGGAATACTGTTAATGGTTTGGGTTTAGTCATGCTGTCACTATGCCAGCTGAGCTTTTCTCACTTGCCCTTTCCTCCTCTAGATTCTCAAATCCAAAGATTTAACATCTCCAACCCAGCGCTACATCGACAGCAAAGTCGTGAAAACCAGAGCAGAAGGCGAATGGCTCTCCTTCGATGTCACTGATGCTGTTCACGAATGGCTCCACCATAAAGGTGACCACCGCCCTCTGTTCTCCTCCTTCGATGTTCAGTGATCCTAAGTTATTGCAAGTCGATTGCAGATTGAGGGGTATTACATGCACAGACAAATGACCTCCTTGACTTAATGTTTTCCAGACAGGAATCTGGGATTTAAAATAAGTTTACACTGTCCCTGCTGCACCTTTGTACCATCGAATAATTACATCATCCCCAACAAAAGTGAAGAACTAGAAGCGCGATTTGCAGGTAACTGAAACTGGGGAGTATGAGGTGGGGGAGGGAAGGGCCTCTGTTGATAATCTCCTGGGAGGATGAGGTCGGTTTGCATGTGAAAATGAGATTGCTGGGTGAGGCCCGGGGAGTTTCATTTGTTTGGGCAAAGCTATGGTTGGGGAAAGATATATGAAGGCAGAAAGGACTAGAAGAAAGGGATTCCTGCCCAGTTTACACTGCTCGATGCCCCGTGATGACTTGGCAGTACTAACTGACAGACTTACCAACCTTCCAGACTCTTAAATAGCCTGTTCAGCCCTTTATTCTTCACTTGAGCAAACCAACATTCCATCTATGCTAATAGTATAGAAGAAGATCACATGCATTCAAGGACATCCATTGATTATCCCCCCAAACCCAACGTCGTGGGGAAGCCACCACTGTTATCTCACAGAGGATGTCCTCTCCCACCACAGCCTCTGTAACTAACCTGACCTGTACCAGAACACACCCCCTTTTCTAGCTGGTGCCCAATATTCCAAGTGGCTTCCTTATCAGACTTTCATAATAGTTTATAAACACATAACAAGGTTTTAGTCGCCCCCTAGTCTTGCTTACCTTTTAGTAAGCTTCCTTTAGCCGAAAGTCAAAGAGAATGAGGAGATGCCAAGGGTTCAAGTCATGTCTTACGTTAGATAACAAGTCGTTGGAGGACGAGAGGTGAGGGGGGAGTCTGGACCTATTGCGGGTTCAGCACTGGCTCCACACCACCAGGTGAGGGAGCTGATGGCCCTGTCCTAACTCACCCCACCTGGGACCTCCATCCATTGGCAGAAGGCTCCAGTGGACCTTGCTCATGGAAAAATACTCCCAGCGGTCTAGAGATTATTTCAGTCTGTAACCTAGTCACGATTCTCTGGAGTATGGAGATTAAATGCTTAAGCTGGCAGTCTCCTGAGTGTGCTTTGGGGAGCTCGAGTTTCTCCATCTCAGATGGAATCAGGAAGGTGTTGAGGATATCACAAAATCAATGAAAAAACCCTTTCTTCACAGCTTCCCAAAGTAGCATTAGGTAAGGGTGGGTGACTTCTGTTTCACTTGAACCTCATTCACTGCAATTTAGTGTAAGTCTCAGTTTAGGTTCATCAGGGAAATCTTTTGACTTGAGCAGTCCTAGGAAGAGAGGGGACCAGCGGGTGACACGTCCTATGGCCGTGTCATCAGTCGTTGAGGCGTTGAGCACAGCCTACACTGAGGACTGACTAAAATAAACAGTCGAGATTGCCCTTGGACTAGGGGTCAGAGACTTCTTCTGTAGTGACTTTCACAACCAACAGGCCCTGCCTTGGACACTGAACTGCCTTCTGACAAGAGCCCCATTTAGCCGTGTTCCTTGTCACCTGCACTAGTCCTATCCACTGCCGTGGGGAGTGAGCCAGCTGCTGCTGCTGTGTGGTCATCACTGCTCTTTGTGACAATAGAAAAGATATGGCTGATTCTATCTGATGAAGGTGAAGCTAAATGTCTATTACCCGAATGCATTTTTTCAAGGTATTGACGGCACCTCCACATATACCAGTGGTGATCAGAAAACAATAAAGTCCACTAGGAAAAAAAACAGTGGGAAGACCCCACATCTCCTGCTAATGTTGTTACCCTCCTACAGACTTGAGTCACAACAGTCCAACCGGCGGAAGAAGCGTGCTTTGGATGCGGCCTATTGCTTTAGGTAAAGGAAATAAAAGGAAAACAAAAAGTAACTGTGTTTGTTTAACGTTTGTACTGCTTTTGCCCCCTTTTTTTTTTTTTTTTTTTTTTACTAAAAATGGACTGGAACTGCAACTCATTGCATAAAACCAGGACTAGAAAAGTTAGAGCCATCGTATTTCGTAACATCATCCTTTCCGGAGGTTGAAACAGTTATTTCTATGCTGTATTCATCAGTTCTTTAACAATGAATCTACTGTGAAGGGAGAAAACTAGCCCCCTGAACTTTTTCCCCAAATCCCTCCAAAGCACTTTGAGGCTGAAGGAGAAAAGGAGCTGTCTGTTCCCCAGAGCAAAGTTAGGTTTATTTGAGGTGCAGGATGGCGGGTCCCTGACTGGGGAGACTCACCACCTGTAGAAGCCTTCACTCTCCCTGCAAGGTACCCATGGTCAAACCTTCTTCACCGTAACAGTGATGAGAGAGACAGAAGAAGGATGCTGTTTGTCGTGTCTTTTACTAGAGAATATGAGAAGGGAGGGTAACATAAATTTATCTCCCATTTCCACATGAATTCATGGTGGGAAAGTGTGAATGTTTTTCTGTATTTTTTTCTTTTTCTTTTTTCTTTTGGCCATGCCACTGGTGCAGCTTGTGGGGGCCTTAGTGGCTTGCGGGGATCTTAGTTTCCTGACCAGGGATTGAACTCGTGCCCCCTGCATTGGGAGCGCGGAGTCCTAACCACTGGACCACCAGGGAGTTCCCCTTTTCTGTGGTTTCTTAGTAAGCGTGGTAGGAGCTGTGGGGTGGTGAGGGGTCCTCACTGATAAAGTGCTCAAAGTGTGTGAGTTCACAAGAAAAAGGGTGATTTTTGGTTGCCAGAGCCAGTGGTTGCTCTAAGCAAGACTCTGTGTTTCTTATCTCTGGTTCATTCCTAGATCCAGGAACAGGAAATGAAATAAAGGATTTCTTCTCAAAGGAAAATGCCTTAGATTGTTCTCTGTAAATACCTATTGTACTTCATCCATTTTGCATTTGAAAAGGCAATAGAGGATGGATGGCCAAACTGTGCACTCTAGGTTGGAACGGGCTTGGTCTCGTCTGCCACGTCTTTGCTTATATCTCATCATTTAAGGGAAGGGTTTGATTTTTGAAGTCACAGATAAGCGGGTCAGGGCACAGAACTCACAAGGGAGTCCTGCGAATCACCATCACACCTCATCATGACAGTCTCTTGAGATTGCAGTTCAACCATTAAAACCTGGCCCGTGGTATTTGCTCATACATATTTGTTGAATAAATAAATGAATAAATGAATAATAGAGGTCATTTTCCTGGTTTGGGATGAGGGGCGGGGGGATTGGGGTGAAATCAGCTTCAAAATCTCCATTGCTCTTTCTTTTATCAGAAATGTGCAGGATAATTGTTGCCTACGCCCACTTTACATTGATTTCAAGAGGGATCTTGGGTGGAAATGGATACATGAGCCTAAAGGGTACAATGCCAACTTCTGTGCTGGAGCGTGCCCGTATCTGTGGAGCTCAGACACTCAGCACAGTAGGGTAAGTACGGGCCTCACTTGTCTCTTCTATTCTTGGGCTGCTAATATGTACCTGCTGATAGTATTTCCACATGAATTCTAAATAGCCTGGTGCCCTTTTGTCATCACACGTAAATGGGTGCTGGAGACACCGTTTTGAATGATGAGAAAAAAATGTAAGCTGTAGGTGAACTCAGAAAGTAACACTGATGAGTTTGGACAGTTTGTCTGGCCTTCCCAGTTAGATTACAAGCAACTTGAGGACAGTTTAATTTTTGCTTTGTTTTATATTCCTAACAGCTGTAAGCATAAATAGGTAGGATCAGTATATCACTTAGTGTCATGTGCTGTTAAGATGTGCAGGGACCCAGGTCTCCAGCTAAAAAAAGGATCCGTTATCACCTCCATCAGGGACTGTCATGTTTGAAAGAACATTGAGGACTTCAGTAGATGCTTTGGCAGAGTGATTCGCTAGTGTATGACAGTTATAAAATCATTTAACTTCTCTGAACCTCAGTTTTCTTATCAGTAAAAAGGAATGTCTGTATTAAAAATTATTTTTGAAATAATAATGTCCAACTCCAGAGTGGATGTGAAGAATATAAAGATGATATATGTAACAGTGATTTGAAAATCAGTATCTCCCAGTCTTTTCGAATATAACCCAAAGTAAATGAGAGTCTGAATATTTTATTAAGTTACTTCAATGAGGAATGAAGGCTAATTCAGAAGGCAGGTCCTAGATTGGATGCCATGAGTTCCCCGCCCAGATTAGCAAAGACTTTTTCTATGTAATGATGGTATTTGTCCAAATGCTTCTTCCTGGTGCCTAGTCATGTAGGATTTTTGGAGATGGAAAGGACTTCACAAGTTATCTTGTCCCATCCTGTAGTACTATATATAAAATAAATAAACAACAAGGACCTACTGTATAGCACAGAGAACTATACTCAATATTTTGTAACAATGTATAAGGGAAAAGAATCTGAAAAAGAATATATATATATATATATATATATATATACACACACACACACACACACACATAACTGAATCACCTTGCTGTATACCTGAAACTAACACAACATTGTCAATCAACCATACTTCAATAAAAATATAGAATAAAATGAAATAAGAATAAAATAAAATACAAAACAATAATAGGCTCTCTTGTTCAAACCTTTCATTTTTTTAAAGAAATTGAAGCCTAGATCAAGGAGATGACTTGCCCGGGGGCAAACAGTTGGTGACAAACCAGAGCTTGGAACGCAGGCCTCCTTGTTTTATAACCAGGCCTTCGTTCACTGCGTCTTAGAGTTTAATTCCTGAAATGTGGCTACACACTGGGGTTATGCCTCTGTAAATCTCCTTATTAAAGAAACATTAGAAAAATTGCCTTCACTGCAGGATAGGAAAATGAATCTCTTGCCAAAAAGTTCCCATAATGCGTTCAGCTGAACTCAAGAGTTTGGGGGATATCAATGATTTTCGATAATCTGTGTTATAAAATTCCTCTTGAATTCAGCTGAAAAAATCTTGTGTTGGTGGAGCATGAAGTCTATTTATTGATAAACGCTTACATATGCTAAACGTCCAATGGACAAATACGGCTCCCTTTCCTTCAGCTGTTTTCCTGACACCCCTGGAGGTTTTGGCTCCCTGGGCTGACCACGTGCTTGGCCACGTGAGGGAAGCTCGCTTACGCCTGTCGCTTGGTCTGAGCTCTCTGGCCAGGCTGCTTCAGCTGGGCTGTGGCAACAGTAGCTGTAATGTGGGCGAGACCCAGTTGCCAAGTAGAAACATAATTCTCCTCCCTGATACACAGAGGGAGTGTGTGAAGGCTGAGACCACGCTTGTTTTTCAAGGAGAGAGGAAGAATCACTGTCATGATCACAAATATGTGGTTTGGACAGTTACCCAAAAAGCCAGAGGTAGCTTAATAAAGTGGTCAGTGTTGCTGTGCTGAACAGATCTTCTGTCTTAGGCTGAAAACATTGCAGTGAATCTCGAGGAAAAGGTCACTCGCTGTTTGATTAACACATTAATGGCATCCTTGGAAATGTCTCTTTATCATCACTGGGGAAGCTCCATACTTCCGTTGGTAGAAGTCACATACCCCTTTGATATAGGATGGGGTTAAAGGTATAGCACTAACCATAGAACTTTCTTTTCATTCTAAGACTGACTATTCACTCCTCCAACTTAGGCACTACCATTTACCACATGGAAAGCTAAATGGAGGGCTGAGTATTATTTTAAGAAAAAGGTAACAAAGTGAATCATTAAGAATATAGATTACTTCTGAGGTCGTTCTTAGCATGACTGTATTTACGAAGCAATGAAAAGACTTTGATCTTTATTTATTTTAAATGAAAATTTAGGTGACATTAAATTGGCCTGAGAAGACACTTAGCCTAGGAAGATTTCACACTGCAGACAGATGTCTTTTGCTCTACCTAAGGGTAGATTAAAGCTCTGATGAGAGTTTTAATAAAAAATGTTATTCTCCTGTTTATCCATGTATTCATTTCTTCACCTAGCATGTGAGTCTTGTTTTGATTTTGTCCAGAGAAGTCTCACTAGGGCTATAAGTTTAAAAAAAAAGAGGTGTGTAGAGTCCCTGACCTCAAGCGAACTCTTCATCTAGGTGGGGATTGAAACTACTCACGAAACAACTTCAGTTACAGAGAAGTGTAGACACAAGGCGAAATACCAGGTTTGGTATTTGGAGCAAGTTTTCTGAGGGCCTGGGAAGTATGGGCAGCAAAGGAGTGATCAAAGTAAAGACTCCTTGGAAAAACTGGAAAATCTGTTGAATGAGCAATTTTGTCTAATCTGACTTTTACAGAAGTATTTGTTTACAATGTATGAGAAAAGGATTCTGTAGGAAAATGGTGAATTCAGGGATTCCTCAGGACGCCTACCCATTTGACTATAATTGGAGAATAAGTAAAGGAAAGTGTAAGCCCCAAATAATCTAAATTGCCTACTCAGTGCTGTGACTGATAAGATAACTATGTGCGATGGTTCTATTAAAAAATAATTGCCTGTTTTTTGGGGTCTTTTCCTATGTTTTCTTTCTTCTCCTGTGTCCTTTCAGGTTCTCAGCTTATATAATACCATAAATCCAGAAGCATCTGCTTCCCCTTGCTGCGTGTCCCAGGATTTAGAACCGCTCACCATTCTCTACTACATCGGCAAAACACCCAAGATTGAACAGCTTTCTAATATGATCGTAAAGTCTTGCAAATGCAGCTAAGATTCTTGGAAAAGTGACAAGACAATAATCAAACAGTGATGATGATGATGATGATGATGATGATGATAGTGACAAAGGCAATGTTTGTAACAAGAAAACACGAGAGAGCCTTGCTTCATCAGTGTTTAAAAAAAATTTGAAAAAGCGGTACTAGTTCAAACACTTCGGAAGTTTGTGTTCTGTTTGTTAAAACTGGCATCTGAAACAAACAAAAAAAAGTTGAAGGCTTTATTCTATATGTTACCTACTCTGTAAGTGAGAGAGACAAGAAGCAAAACCTTTTTTTCTTGAGAAAAAAAAATAAACACTGGAAGAATTTGTTAGTGTTAATTATGTGAAAGAAAAAAAAAAAAACAGGAAAATCCCGTTAAGTGGAGTTGCTGTACATACGTTTTTATCCCATGCCTCACTTGATTTTTCTGTATTGCTATGCAATAGGCATCCTTCCATTCTTACTCTTAGAGTTAACAGTGAGTTATTTATTGTGTGTTACTATATAATGAACATTTCATTGCCCTTGGAAAATAAAACAGGTGTATAAAGTGGAGACCAAATACTTTGCCGGAAACTCATGGATGGCTTAAGGAACTTGAACTCAAACGAGCCAGCAAAAAAAAAGAGGTCATATTAACGGGATGAAAAATGCAAGTGACCTATTATATGACCGAGCAAGTCTGCATGAAGAAAAGACCCTGCAAACACATGCTCTCTACCAACTGCCGGAGGAAGCTTCTTGTAAGGTTCAAAACTGAAAAGCCTGTTAATAAAGGAAACTTTCGGTCAGAATAAGTCTGTAAGATTTTTTTTTTTCCTTTTTAATTGTAAATGGTTCTTTGTCAGTTTAGTCAACCAGTGAAATGTTGAAATGTTTTGATATGTACTGGTCAAACTTCAGACCTTAAAGTATTGCTGTATAGCTATGCTCTAGATTTTTCCTTCATTTCGGTGTATGTAACCATACCTATATTACTACAATAGATGGGTATAGAAGCCAGTATAATTGGAAACACATCTGCAGATCTCTTTTGCAAACGATGAAATCAAAACATTAACTACTTTATGTGTAATGTATAAATTTTTACCATATTTTTAGTGTTCTGTAATAATGTCAACTCTGATTTAGATTGGACTTAAATTTGGCGCTTTTTAATGATCGTTCGGAATTGTGTGTTTCCTTTAGCTGGCCAGTACTTTTGAGTAAAGCCCCTGTATTTTGACTTGCACTACAAATACATGTTTGATAGTATTTGTTCCACCTGTGCTTTTGCATTGTCCATTATTATGACATAAGCTACCTGAGTCCACTTGTCCTTTTTTTTTTTCTTTTATAAAAAGACATAGTTTTCCTTCATTTTCTAAGCATCATTACTAATCAGTTCAGACATTAACAATCTTCTATTTTAGGGAAATTGGGGATTATAGATACATAGATAATTGAGGTGAAATGTTTTAGTTTTAGCAAGGGCTTAAGGATCTGACTGGAACTCAGAATCTTGGTGACTGGGTTAAGAAAGGTTTCTCTAACTTGGTTTAATCAGTATTTTCACAGAATTCTACTGTTACAAAAGAGCAGACAGTTCTTAGGAAACAACTGTTTCTTTAATCGAGTTTTTAGTGTTCAGGGAGAAATGGAAAGATTTACATTTTAGTTGATTTTTTTTTTTTTTTAAGGAAGAAAAAAAGCCCAGGTCAGCATAAGTCATTTAGTTTATCTCACTGAAGTTAAGGTTTTTATAGATGTTCTTTGAAGGTTGAAAAGGCACTAGGCAAATTCTCCCATGATCAAAAAATCCTTTCTTTCCTCTGAATGAGAGTTATCAAATCAGAGGTTAGAATTTACCTTGCTGAAATACATGATTTGCCACATTTTTGCAGAGGAGGTAACCTTATGTCAGGGGTTGTAGGATATGTCAGTTTGTCAGTTGTCTCTTATTTAGCTTTAGGATAACAATTAATAGTAAGTCAATGGAATATTTGCAGTTTTACCTAAAGAGCAGCACAATGAGGTGTGAATCCAGCGTGAAGTTGTTTGTTTGATGTAGTGTACTTCTTTTTTGGAATTTCCTGACCATTATTAAAATGACAAATTGGATTTGTTTGAAAACTGGAAAAGCAAGAGATAGGATGCCACAGTACCAAACAACCCTTGGGTTGGATGTAACCCAATCCCAGATTGGAGTGTGTTGATTTTTTTTTCTCTTCCACTTTTCTATCCATTCTATGTAAATCACTTATTTCTGCAGGTATTTTCCTCTCAGATAGAATGACATTTTGTTTTGTATTATTTTGTCTTTCCTCATGAATGCACTGATAATATTTTAAATGCTCTATTTTAAGATCTCTTGAATCTTTTTTTTTTTAGTTTGGGGGTTTTATAAGGCCTTTATTTCCCATAAGTAAATATTGCTATGAGAGGGGAGGGAGTGGGGAAAATGTTAGTGTGTGGGTGGGGCTGGCCTGCAGTTTTTCTGTGATAAACAGCAATACGATTTTATGGTTGGCATGATTTTTTTTTTTAAATGGAACATAAGAATAGCTGTTTTGTATTTTGATGACTGATTACGCTGTATTTTAACACAATGTATGTCTGTTTTTGTGGTGCTCTAGTGGTAAATAAATTATTTCAATTATATGTCGATGTGTTTTTCCTGTCCTGGTATCATCCTGGAGACCAGAGAACACTTCTGATTCAGGGAGCGTGAGCTCAAGCTAGAAAAGTCATACCAGCTTTAAGATCGTGCTTTTTTTTTTTTCCTCAGAGAGATTCAGTCCAGAGATGTCATGCTTTAGAGTTCCAGAGCCAGGATGTATCTATCAAGGCCTGAAGAAAGCGCTGTGCAGGCTTTGTATTCCCTTGTTTATTGCTATTTGGTAATTGTTGGAGATTTAGTTTCCATCCAGCTTGACTGTCTACCAGAAAAAAAATGCAGAGAGTTGTTTGGACCATGCTTTGGCTTTCTAATCCTATGTTCTGCCAACCCCAGGGCCAAAAGAACTGGTCTAGACAGTATCCCCTGTAGCCCCATAACTTGGATAGTTGCTGAGCCAGCCAGATATAACAAGAGCCACGTGCTCTTTGGGGTCGGTCTTTGAGAGCAGCTACTCCTTTATTTCTCCCCTACCGCTGCACCAGAAAACCCCTATTCCCGCAAACTTCTTTGGCTGTTCACCCTGCAAGACCAGACTTTGCAAGTGAGTTGCCAGTCTCTCAATAAATCAAAGTAATAAAAAACGTCGTTGTGGCTCCATCTGGCTGTCCTGCTTTATCTAATGAAAGAACGAATTTGTGCCTGTGTTCTAAACATCACCTAGAAACAAACCATCCATTCAAATGTCTAGGTAGAACAGAAAACGGTTCCCTTTTCTACACTCTGTGTTTCATCTTTTATACTCATCTGTTATAGACAGAGGAAGTGTTTCACTTGAAAACAATTCGTTCGTGCTTCTCTGCAGTACCAGGGGCCAGTACCAGGCCTATCACCCCAGCCCTCACCACCTTTATTTGAAGTGTGAGAAGAAGAGGGTATCATAGGGTCATGAAAAGAGTCACGTAAGAGCTGTATCAACTTGGTAAATTTGTCAGCCACTCTGACCCTCCGTTTCTTTATCTTTAAAATGAAGATGAGATTTACCTGCTTTGTGTGGTTGTGATTGTGCCCTGGCTATTGTTAAGTAAGTGGACATGGGAAAAGTACTTTGGTGTTTGGCCTGTAGATGATGGTCAGTAAATCGTAGTCTTAACAGCTTTTTAACGTCTATTCAGACTGTAACCAGGGGCCACACTCCTTCCTCTTCATACTGAATGTGTAACCTCCAGACCCTAATCTCATCAATGAATCAGGCCATCAGTTATTCCTGAGAATATTGTCACTCAATTTCTTAACTTTTGGGTTACATGACTGACCAGAAACTGTTTAAAATCATGGGGAGATGTTCAGGTGAAGCTTTGCTTCCCGTCCACCGACTGAAATTCAACGTAACAGAGACAAGGCGGTTAGTTGATGGTCCCATTTTCTAAGATGATGATACCGAGAGCCCCGGTTTGCTGAGCACCCATCAGCTACTGTTCTCTGTTATCCTAAGTAACCTCACATGTCACCCTACGATGTAGGCTTTTTTGATAGAACTCCATTTTACAGGGAAATGAGCAGACTCGGAATGGTTAAATTACATGTCCAAGATCACCCAGGTTATAAGAGGAAGGTCGAGAACTTCATTGTTCAGTACACTAGCTACTTGCCACGTGTGGCTTTCAGGCAACTGAAATATGGCGAATCTGAACTGAGACATTCCAAGGTGTAATATCCAAACCATATTTTGAAGACTTAGTACAAAAGAGAAAGAATATCTAATGTCTCATTACATTTTTATATTGATTACATGTCTAAATAATACTATTTTGAATATATGGGATTAAATAAAGTATATTATTGAAATTATTTCACCTGTTTCTTTTTTACTTTTTTAATACAATTACTAGAAATTTTAAAAGTACATATGGTGCTCGTATTCCTACCCTATTCTATTTCTCTAGAATTGTTTTTTCAGTTCTTTCTTAGAATTTCCCCATCTCTCTGCTTACATTGCCCATCTATTCTTGCGTGCTGTTTACTTTGTCTGTTAGAACCCTTAGCATATTAATCACAGTGGTTTTCAATTCCAGGTCTGGTGATTCCAACATCCCTGCCATGTGTGGTTCTGATGCTTGCTCTGTCCTTTCAAATTGTGCTTTTTGCCTTTTGGTATGCCTTGTAATTTTTTCTTATAGCTGGACATGATGTACTGGGTAAAAGGAACTGCTACAAATAGGCCTTAGAAATATGGTGGTGAAGTGGGAGGGGAAGCAGTCTATAGGTGTATGATAAGGTCTCAGTCTTCCAGTGAACCTGGGCCTCTGGACTGTGACATTCACAAGAGGTGCTCAGATTTCTTCTCCCTCCTTAGCTGGGGCAGGATGGCTAGTATGTTGTAGAGTTGGATATTTCCCTTCCTCAAGGTCAGCAGTTTGTTAGTCTCTGATAATACTCCAGCAGGTGAGCCTCTGGTTAACTGGTTTCCCCAGAGGGCTTGATAAGAACAGAGTGCTCTGGTGTATTGCAAAATGATTCCTTTGCCCCATTCCCTGCAGGAAGTCCTAGATTTTTCTCTGGTATTTACTGTGGGAATCTGGTGGATCTCCTGAAGGTGAATCTCACAATATTGTGTGTGTATGTAGGGGTTGGGAGGAGGCTATGGGTGGGTCCCCCAGAGTTTTTAACTCTCGGAGGTGTTCACACTGAGCTTCCAGCAATTCATAAATTACCATTCAGGTTTTCCTATCCCGGCACTAGTTCCTGCAGTGGTTTCTTTCTTTTTTTTGTCTATCATTAATGTGATGGGTAAAGCATAGTCCATTCATACAATGAAATGTTGTCTAGTAATTAAAAGAAAATGAATTAGATTTAAATGTATCAACATATATACATCTCAGAAATATGATGTTGAGGGCTTCCCTGGTGGCGCAGTGGTTGAAAGTCCGCCTGCCGATGCAGGGGACACGGGTTTGTGCCCCGGTCCTGGAAGATCCCACATGCCACGGAGCGGCTGGGCCCGTGAGCCATGGCCGCTGAGCCTGTGCATCCGGAGCCTGTGCTCCGCAACGGGAGAGGCCACAACAGTGAGAGGCCCGCGTATCGCAAAAAAAAAAATATATATATATATATATATATATGATGATGAGTGAAAAAAGCAAGTTACAAAAATACATGTGCAGATGACCATCCTGAAGTTGGATTTTATCTTTATATCTGTATTGCTAATATTTTTACTATGTATGTATTCACAAATAATATATAATACTAATTCTTGAATTTTATGTAAATCATATCACCCACAGCAGTTTCTGCTTATAAGTCTCTGCTCTGATAAGTGGTGATGACCTCTATTTTCCCATCCGTCTCTTCAACCTTGGGGACAGTGGTTTGCCCTGTATCCTCCCCTCTCTATGGATCCAGGAAGATTTGTTGATTTTTTTTCAGTCTTTTCAACTTGTTACTAGTTGTTAGGACAGAGTGGTGACTCCTAAGCTCCTTACATGTGGAGCCAGAAGTTCTTTCTACTTCTGTTCGACAGCTCTGGTGTAGAATTTGAAAGCAGGTCTGTTTAAGGGCTAAACTATTCCCTTAGCCCGCCCCCTGCAGGAAGTCCTAGATTCCAGCTTTTGTTTTGTTTTGTTTGTATTACCAGCTTTTGTTTTTGTAATTAACCTATGATTGAAAAATATTGAGTCAAACTCTATGAAATTATTCTTGTAGGTCATGATTTGTTGAAAGTTGCCAATTCTTTAGGGTTCATCCTAACAGTTGGAGCTGATTGACAGATGCGGCAATGAAAGTACATACATTCTACAAGCTCCACTGGCAAAGCTCTTGATAAAATTTATGGTTACTTATCAGCAAAGCACTACTGAGACAGTACAACCTATTTCTAGGGTAGCTGGTCTATCATACAAATCTTTTCAGTCCATAGAAATCTTCATTTATGCACCTGTGACCACATTTTCTACTGTGTTGAAGGGGGGAAAAAAGCCAGAATACTCATTGTGCTCTTTCAAGTCACTGGTCCTGAGAAGACTCTGCTTTTCTATCTGTAAATAAGCTGTGCTCTCTTTACTAACAGGTCTTAGAAGGGTGGATCCAGGCTTTGTGTTCCGGAAGCTTATATAAGGGAGGTTTTGTTTTTTGTTTTACAGAATCAAAATTACAAATACAAAATTAGATTCGGAGCCTTAGAGAGGGCCCACAACAGTGAGAAGGTGGGATATTTTGAGCTTTAAGAGCTCCACTGCAAACCAGCCTCTGGGCTTAAGCTAACACAGGCCTTTGTTACTATCAGATGGTCAGCTTGTAATTCTAGCAAAAATTATATCCCATCTCTTTACTGATAATCTACTAAATCACATCTTATGTGCTGAACAAAGGAAAAAATGACCTTGGTTTTTCTAACATTCTGAGTCAGAGGCAGTAGAGGCGATGTTATTTTTATACCTCTTTTGAAACACCCTATGAGATTGGAGACATTGTTCACATAAACATTAGGCAATTGTGTCAGTAAATATGAATAACTTCACCTGAAGTTGCAAAAAGAATGCTTTTCAATTACTTTTTTTAAAGGAAAGTATTTCTCTGGTCCCCTGCCCCTCCTCCCCAGTTGTGATGATTTTGTCTTTATTTCCCTGAAACACTTTGTAGCTGGTTTCTTTATTTCAGCGAGTAATGGCTATTTGGAGAAGAGATGAGTGTGTTCCTGTAATTGGGCAGAGACCTAGTAAAAGGAACAGAATGTACTGAGGGAGACAGTGCTCTGTGATCAAAACTAGGAAAATCATTCAGCCTAAGAGAACAGACATAATTAAACAGCAAAGCAAGAAATTAGTGGTCCACAAAAAGGCCCAATACAATCTCTCAGGCTTTTCCCCCAAAGTGGGATTTTCTCTCCCGCAGATGCCAACCCAACTGAAAGAACACAGATGTGTGACTCAGGTGACGTCATAAAGGTCTAGCCAGATCTAGAGATGGAAACCCTCTCCTCAGGCCCAAATCTCCATTCTGATTCATGTAGAAAATCCCGAATCTCAGGATGTTGGGAGCAAAC